TTGCATCAGCCCAGTTTCTATGAGGGCATTCTTGTGTTTGCTCTTTGAATCGCCTTTGATAGACGGGGTTCAGATCCAGGGGTTCCAATATTTCATGGCTAACATAGAGGAATGCATTTATTTATTTACATATTTATACCCTACGTTTCTCCCCAGAAAGGACCCAGAGCAGCTTCCAACCTTGTTCTGCCAGAGTGACCCTACTGTGGTCATCCAGTGAGCTGGCAGGGCAGGGCTCGAACCCCAGGGCTTCTGGGTCCTCGTCTGACCCCTCCACCAGGCTGCCATCAGTGCCACGAATGCCTCTTCTCATCTGTGGCTACAACAATTGAGAGCTTTTGAGAAGTCATTGGATGCTTGGTCTTCGTCAAGAAGAGTTATTTCTCCCCTCACTATTTCCTCAGCTTTTAAAATTGTTCACAAAATGTTTTCTGATTTCCGCCAGTCCCAGGCAGCCCATCTTTATTTGCGCCTTGTATTTCCAGTTTTATGGAATGATCCTTATTATGCAGATGTCTTGCCGTTGCCTATACAAATATGCCCAGCATAACTGAAGAAAGAGCATTGTTGCCTTGGTAACTATACGGTGACCTTAAGAACTAAGGCAGCTAGTCTTTGAATAATAGCCTGGAGAGAAATCAAAATCAAATGATCTGCAAAGCTAAATGTAATGATTTTTTTTTTCCTCTTCGGAAAAGCTGTACAACTGTGTGATTCAGGGATATAAACTCAGTCCTAAGGGCAAGAGAGGGCACAGGGGAAGAGGCAGGGAGGAGGAAAGATGCAGTTTTTATTGATTTTTGGTTATTGATTGATTATTGATTTTATTGATTACAGCCGCCAGGGCATTGGCATGGCATGGGGCACAGATCCAGGCATCAGGTGACCTGCCTGCTGGCTGATGAAACCCTTCCCCAGGCCACATGCTGGGGGGAGAACTGGAACGGCAAGACCAGTGGTCCCATATAGGAGCAAGCCTCTATGTCTTTCCCTTGCCACCTTTAGGTGGAGCCAAGCCACAGCCCCAGAGCTGGGCATGACATTACCTTGCTCCACCCCCAAAACTCCTTGAGGGGGGTCCCCACCTGAGGAGGCAGGCACACAGACTCAGCCCGTCCTCAAATGGATCTGGCCCAATACCTAAAACTGCCACCAGAGCCGGGCTGTAGCAACCGGCTCCTGCCAACACTTCCTAGGCTGCGACCAAGAGAGCAGGGTGCTCTGAATGCTCTGGAGTCCTCCTGTTCCGAGCAGGAGAGATGAATACCGCCCACTCTGAACAGGGCTGCTAGCCTGAAGGAAATGTCTGGGCGACAAATCTTTTACCTGCCCACGGATTCCACAAACTGTCCAACCACCTTTCTAACTTTCCTCCAGGCAGCATCCAACTAGCTGGGAGAAACAGCCCCTGCCTTTCCAGGCGAAGTGGCCAAGTTTGCAGATGACATGAAATTATTTAGAATGGTGAAAACCAAGGATGACTGTGAAGTGCTCCAAGAGGACCTCCACAAACTGGGTGAGTGGGCGACCATGTGGCAGATGGCGTTCAATGTTAATAAGTGTAAGGTGATGCATTTGGGGACAAAAACTCTCCCAACTTCAAGTATAATGGGGTCAATGTTCCCTCTAAGCTTTGGAGTCTTGTGAGCAAAAATTCTACTTTGTGAGCTGCTGGCATTAAAGTTCTGAGCGAGCGATTTGGCTGCTGCGTAAATTAGTTTGCTCTGGAGCCATCCTTCCTGATCTGAGACAAAACTGTGTGAGCCGGAGGCTAAAAGACTGTGAGCTAGCTCACACAAACGCAGCTTAGAGGGAACACTGAATGGGGTCTGAACCTGCTGAGTCTGAGAGGGGAAAAGATCTCGGGGTCGTAGTGGAGAGCTCAATGAAACTGTCAAGCCAGTGAGCTGTAGCGGTGAAAAGGGCAATTTCTATGTTCGGGATTATTAGGAAAGGGATTGAGGCCCTGTTTGCATGAACAAGAGGAGGGGCCAGCTCCAGGGCTGAATGACAAAATATCCTGCAGTTGTAGCGACTGGACAGGGTTGACAGCCGGAGCTGCCTGCAGGCTGATGTGAGTGTCTTTCCCCCTCTGATCTGTCTTGGACCTATGCACTGTGAGCCAGAGTACGGCCCACCCCGACCCCGCGCACTACCCCAAAGCCCATCACACATGGCCACTGCTTGCCATCTGGCTCTGCTGCTGCTGCTGCCGGCACTCCCCCTTTGCCACTCTCCTGTCTGCCTGTTTGCAGCAAGGCTTCCAGCTTCCACTGCCAGGCTGCCACTTGCCTTGTCCCAGGCTGCCTCCTCCTCCTGCCGTCCCTTTCCGGCCGCCCTCCTTACTGCTCCTTCCATGGGAGCGCCTTGAGAAGCCGCCTGATTGCCTGCCTGAGAACTGCAGCCAGAGCCAAGGGAGAGGCTGCAAAGCTTGGACCACACTGCTTCTCAGCGGTAGAGAAGACCACGCTCACACTGCTTGTGAAAATGGCCGAAGCTGGAATGGGAAGGCCCCGGCAGTCACATGGCCATAAAAAGGGGAAGGATGGGCCCAGGGAAGGCCCCCAACAAAGCTTTCCCCCAGCCTGCCCCCACCGGTCAACAAGGTGGCAAGCTGTAGGTCGCTGCTGGGGACCTCCCAGATGACGCAGCTCCGCCCATGCAGCATGAGACCACCAGGGGGCCAATCCTGCCTCTTGATCGACCCCGCCACCCCGCCCTGAGGCCGCAAAACAGCCCCCAGTCTGAGGCTGTGGCTTTCTTCTGAACAGTTATAACTAGCTATATCCATTCAACTGGCCAGCAATGCTCCCTCTAAGCTGTGGAATCTTGTGAGCAAAAGTTCTCCTTGGTGAGCTCCTGGCATTAAAGCTGTGAGCAAGAGATTTGGCTACTACAGAAATGAGTTTGCTCTGGAGCCCTCCTTCCTGAGCTAAGACAAAAATGTGTGAGTCGGAGGCTAGAAAACTGCGAGCTAGCTCACACCAGCTCAGCTTAGAGGGAACACTGCTGGCCAGCATTATTGGAGGCAATTTCTGCATTCTTGGGGGAGAGAGAGCGCTGGCCTTTTCCTCCAACAATTAATCTGTCTGCAAAACAGTGGCTTATGCTTCATGGGGAAGGCTTCAAAAGCATCATCCTAAAGGTCAGGCTAGAAACGGCACAGGAGATCTGTGATTAGGATCGCCCACAGATTTTTGAAAACTAATTAGCATCTCCGTGGAGAGGCTTTCAACGTGTGCAGCTGTCTCTCCCACCTCTCCCCCCCCCCAAGGTATTTGCAACTTCAAGGGGCATTTTAAATCAAGGGGAAAGACATAGGAGGAAAGCTTTTTTTCTTGCTTCCCCTGTAGTCTTTCTACATGGATTTACATAGGACAGCTAATTAATGTTGGTTGTTTGTTTAACGCGGAAGGTCCTAACTGCACATCATGTCTAATTTGATCCTTGCCTGTATATTTTCCTTTCTAGGACTAATAATACACAGGCAGCGGAATGGGGGGGGGGGAAGGAGTCAGTTTCAATTGGTGGAATCATATGGGGATAGGAGCAGTGTTCCCTCTAAGCTGAGTTAGTGTGAGCTAGCTCACAGTTTTTTAGCCTCCGGCTCACACATTTTTGTCTTAGCTCAGGAAGGAGGGCTCCAGAGCATACTAATCTATGCAGCAGCCAAATCACTCGCTCATAACTTTAATGTCAGTAGCTCACAAAGTAGAATTCTTGCTCACAAGACTCCACAGCTTAGAGGGAGCATGGGATAGGAGAGTTAAGCACCTTTGTCCCTTCACCTGTTGTGTTCCTGATCCCAATCAGGTATCCACATGGTTGGTCTTGGACTTTAAAAGCTATGACCCCTGTTCTCCAGCATCTTCTCCAGCTTGGCCGTAAGACGTATGACTTCCAGTGCAAGCTGTGGACTGCA